CACAAATGATTATAGTCTGTTTCACCTTAATTTGGCACCACAATGTCTGGCTTTCGACGGTTTTTCACTAAAAACACACCACCCAACCTCTCAGCGCTTTAGAGAAAATGTCAACACATCTGAAACGTTTATTTTGACCGAAAAAGGTGCTCTTCTTAAGTTATTATCTGTTGTAATACATGCCATGAATTCCTAATAGCAACCTACCTGCACGACAATACAGAAAAAGATGGATGTGCAATAGAGTTTAGTCCACTTATTGGTGGAGGAGGAGGTGGGGGGGGCGGGGTGATTGAATATCAATTTGGAGTGGTATGGGGGGGGGACAGCAAGAGATGGCTGAAACTTGCTCCAAACGAGCCCGCCCTTGTTATTGAATTAAAAATTCTAAACGCAGCCTGATTAAAATAAAACACAGATGGCTAATGATTTTTCTGCATGCTATCAGTCCCCTAACAGTGTCTTCCCCTCGCAGCTGGTTTCATTCAGGGTGCGGGGGGGGAAAAAAGGAGAAAACAGTTCGCAGCTGAATATTTCTGGATATTGCTTCCAAACTTATTTCGGCTTAGGGCGAGAGGTTGGTCACAGTTGTCACTATCATCTTATACAGGCTTCTGTTCCCATTGCTTGTAACCAATGGGTCTGTGTCTTAGTCTCACAATTCCAGGAGATATCAATATACATGCAGCTTTGAAATTCAGCACGCTCCCTGAAAGGAATTAACCCATCCACCAAGATGAGCATCCTTGTGGAATTCATATTATTGCTTGATCAATAGTAGGCAGAGTTTGAACTAAAACGTTGTGTAAGATTCTTAAAACCATCTGTTACTTTCTCAGCTGCCGTCATTTTCCTGCATTTCAGTTCTTAACGACTTTTACTTAGACGGCCTTAGCTCACACAGGATCAGACGTAACCAAACATTCGACCCACCTTCCAATCCTTGATTCCTGATGGGGACCATCCTTTGGGCGCAAGACGCAGACTTGAAAAGCAGTGCATCAAACCTTCCCCTGAAATGGCGAGCCCTTTCTTCTCCTTGCTCTGATCAAAGCTGGGATCGTTTTGATCCACCGATCGCTGGGTCTCCACTTGAGAAACCAAAGGAATCCAACGTTTCCAAAGTTAATTGCTTTTAACTGAGAGGGATACTTAAGCCAAACGTAAGCTTGCAAACCTGTTTGGAGTTAAAGTGTTCATGACTATGTGTCTCTAGCACACTTGTCCAGTTCTCGTCCTTATAGAGGAGCATGTGGCTGCAGCGTGCAGTTTATAGGATCACACTAACGATACAAAAATGCCTTATTGCAAAGACTACAGCTTATGTAAAAGATGTTTTCTCAAGTCCAATTTATAGATTTGAGGAATCCTGCAGGATCATTCCTATGATATTACTAAAGTTTTGTGGGAGTCTAGAAGATTTTCCTTTGGCCTTAGTTTTTTTTTGTCGGATGTCTGTAACAGGCAAATAAATGTGTTCATGCATGCTTCTAAAAAAGAAAAAGACTATATCACCATCTGGTGCATACCATCTTTTCAAATCACCAATTATATAACAACTAGAGAGTAGGTGCTTAGAACACAAAGCTCTAGAGGACTTCTTTAGATAAAAACAAGAAGCATACTTCTTTTCCATAAGAATTCCTCTAGATAGTTTTGGAAACACAGCAAGCGTACACGACTAGTCAGAGCTGGATTAACACTAGAAAAAGCAGCTTCTGGAGTCAGGAGAATTCACCTCTAAAGTGGACGAGGAACCTGCTGTTGCCTCCCTCTGCGCCTCTATTTTAGTTTTCTGTTTTGGTGTAAAAGTGCTCAAGGAACATGTTGAAGAGATACAGATACATCCAGCTTTAGAGTCCAGTGTTCATACAGTATATGCCATAGGGCAACCATTTCCTTTTTAGCAACCCTCAGAAGAAACATGCTTTGCCCCGTGCTCATATTGAGACAGTCAAGCATGACCACCTTTGTGTGGTTGTTTTTGCAATGTCATTTCCCAAAAATGCCACTGAAAACACGAAAGGGATCTCAAAGAATTCAATCAACCCGGCTACTCCTAAGGCTGCAATGAGACTCGATTTTCCTCTCTTTGGGGCTACAGAAGAAGGGGGGAAATGCTCCATGCTCAAATACCATTGTTTGCCTTTTGAGCAATGTTGTAATGAGCTCCTATTTAGGCTAAATTACACTCGGTTGGCAGGTTATTAAGGCGGCATCAGTAAAAACTCCACGCTCTCCCCGGGCGATTCCAAAACAACTCCTGGCTTTGCCAAGATTTGTTCCAGAGAAGGGCATTCCGCACAGCGCCAGGGCTGAGCTCATGTCCTGGGTCCTTCGCGGCGCCTTATCCGCATCTCAGAATCCACTGCCTCCCCCTTAGAAGCTGAATGTCAGAAGGCTCCGGGATTGATAAGCAACATTGTCTGTGTAATGGATTAATTAGCCAGCTCCAGTCCATTGGCACGCACTGTAATTGCAAACACATTCCCGGCACTGTGGTGCAATTTTACTACACTGGAAGCAGATCAATAGGAGTCTGCCAGGTGGTTTGTTTTTTTGCAGCTTTCTTTTCTCTAAACAGAAATATGCCATGCCATTTGAAAAGGAAGGTGATTCGCAAACAACTCCCAAAAATAGACAGCAACCCAGGAGGCTCTCGTCCGACTGCATATTCCATTGCTGCTGGGAGAGAGCGCGAAAACGATCATTTTCAGCTCTCCTTACAAGTGCCTGGCCTCCCCTGCTATGACCAAAGCCAATGACTCGGCAGATGGATTCCAAGAAGATAAACTGCAGAATGGCATCGGCCATTGGCGCACACAATTTCCCAGTACGTTTAAAATTGCACATCAGTGAAAATGAGTTTGTGAAATAGGCCTTGCCTTCGCAGATTGATAAAAAATCGACCCTGCTAGTTCTACCGTCCCATCTCTACCAAAATGATGCAGTGCCCTTTTAAAAGGTACAGGGATGTGCCAATCCTGTGAGAGATGTACAGTGCATTGCCAAGGACTTATTAAACTGAGGGTCTTCCGATAGGGGGAAAAAAAAGATACATCCAAAAAGCATTATCTCTTGTTGATCGAATGTCAACCCTCCATTCTGGCAATCCTGTTCCATTCACATACAGTAATACCATTCGATTCTCATACACAAATGCTCCAGAACTGGCCTTTAATCAATAATGCCGTACAATTGTTTTTCATTAATTTTGGTAAGGTGGACAGGACTCCGGGGTGCCTTTCATATAAAAAAGACCTTTGCTGTCCCTTGCTCTCAGCGGATACCATTGAGCTCTATTAATTTTCCCTTTCACAATCGCAAGGTCAGACAGGTTCTCCGACTCACTAAGCTCAGGGTGAGAGAACAGGAGGCTGTGAGCAGTTCCCGGATGGGTCTCAAAATTGGACAGACACTCAACTTTTGATTTTAAAAAGCAACCTGGAAACAAGAGGGCAAAATAGTGCTGTACAAGCTCCGGGGTGGGTAGGGTTGCAAATCTTGAGGGAGTTTCAGGTTCTTTAATGACCTGAGAAAATGAGACTGAATTTGGCTGAGAGGTTCATTCCAGTTACATAATTTGAGGCCACAGAGTAGAGACAAACAACAAAGGACCTGCACTAATTCCAGAGATGAGAATATTAGCGACAAGCACCTCCGACCACAGATGTCTGATTTCACCGATTTCAGAAGTGATGAGATGGGGCTTCTTTATGTTTCCAACAAAGATGCGTGTTAAATCAATCACCGTAAGGGGAAAGACAGCCCAGGGCGAGTTTTGCTGTCTCTGCAAAACCGATCTGTGGAGAAGGGCTGTGGGGGTTTGGGGGGTGATGTGTTGTCCGGACTGGAGTGTCTCGTCTGAGGGGAGTGATAAATCACTGCTTTCCTGTAATTTGCCATCCCAGGTCGGCTGCCTGTTTGGATAGAGGGTGGGGAGAGAAGGCGAGAGAGAGATCGTTGTTTCCTGTTGAAACACAACGATCGGGGTGTTGGGTTTCTCTGTGGCGCGAGACGCTGCCCCAGTGTTTATTTTCAGAGCTCCTGCCCTGAGCTGGGTGGGGACCCCTCTTTTTCTCTTTTTTTGACTGGGATTTGAAACCGCAAGAGCTGGCCAGTCAAATCACAGCCCCTGTTAACTGCACACTGAGGCCCAGAGAAAGCCTCACGCTTGGAGAAGGATCTAGGCACACATTCCTGAGAGGGAACAATATTTCTGTGGAGTGGCCAAAAGAGGCAAGATGGGCCAAATTTATAGCCCTGCTTATGTGTGCTACCAACTGGCACAGATTCATTCCATGTGCCTTTTTTGATGAGTATGGGAGACTGAAGGTGTTATGATCCTTGCAACAATATGCAACTATTTATGTGGATAAAATCTACCACACAATGGCAAAATGTAAAGGTTTCACCATTCAATTAGCCTTCAGGTGAGACAGAAGCAGAGGCAATTTGCGATAGCAGACTTGTCTGGAGATCAGCAACCATGAAAGGTCAATTAAGTATCTTCGAGATCACCTTGAATGACCGACATCCATCATCAGAACCTGATTGTGGGAAATTGTGCTTCCCTCAGGTTCGTTGCAGAAGGGGGGGGGGGGATAATGTGAAATCTGTTATTTAGGAAATTCTCAAGAAGAGCTACAGGTACCAAACGAAACAATGGGGAAGTATACGTGGTATACATGAGCTTTTGTTTGGAGATAAAAAAAAGCATTGGGCCACGGGCATGTGGCTTTTTTTTGTCTTTTGAGCTGATTTTTTAAAATTGTTTTTCTAACAAGTTAATTTCACACAGCAATTTAAATCAGAGCTCAACCTCAAGCTTTTTGCTCACAGTTTATCACCTCTGACAGACCACCCTATAGACTGGAGAGCAGCAGAACAATTGCACACACTGAAGCACTGGGGCATGAGAGCAGTGGCCTTTAAGAGTGGCCAGCGCCTCCCCGAAAATAACTCTTGCTTTCTCAGACACAGACGTAACAGTAGACAGGTGTCATTACCTAATAATTTATTTGTTTAAGATTAAAAAGTCAGTGGTCATTGCATCTGGGAAAATTTGCAAAGAGAAAAAAAAAACACTGAAGAATTGAGAACTCCAGACCCATGCGCCCCCATGTCAGGACTTTATAGACAGATGAAATATAAACTGAGCCTCCCTTGAGTAAACTCTGTGTGGGTTTCAGGCAATCCAAACCTACTGGTGTATGAGGGCTGGGTTATCTGAAATAAGGGAATTAAAAATGACAGTGGACAAAGGTACGTTCTGTTTAAACTATCCTAACCTAATATTCTTCATGTTCAGCCCTTTTAAATTTTCTTATAGCTGTAACAACTGCTCAGATGTTAACATAACTGTTCCAGACATATTTCTCAGTATAGCTACCCCTCGACATTGATATGCACTAAAGGGCTGCAATTAGGCACACAGAAGAAAAGATGAAAAGCACAGCTCTGAATTCTTCTGCCTAAAATAAATAATATATATATATATAAATTGAAAGCCAAATAATACACAAAGAGAAAATGTGGCTGTGATAGGCAATGTCTATCTTAGTGCTGTCCTATCTATCCTAGTGGGACTTAGACCAAAGGCACAAATCTCTTGTGAAGTTTCCCAACTAAGTTTTGATGTGGTGCATTAACAAGCCCATATCTGATAGCTGCTCAGAACACAAAATAACAGTTCATTGTATAACTATAGTACAAATAAGGTCTTACTATAGAATGATTAAAAATACAGATATTCACAATTGTTTAGTATATTATTGAAGTAGACATTATTTTGTTCTGTACTGTAGTTCAACACTGATTACGAGTGATGAGGGGCGGGACATGCTCTGTGACCAACCTGTAACACACACAGGCTAAGAAATACCCACTGGAGAGTTCAGATTACACAGAGTTTCAATCTTGTACAAATTAGAATTTCGTACTTCACCCAAGAGGAACAATTCAGCAGACAAAGATATCGACACCCCCTAATGTATATCCCTTTGTCCTTCTTTGCACTGGTGGGGTTTATGGGTCTTTGCCTATTTCTTCAAAAGGAAAACATGTGCTTTACAAACAAACAAGTAAAGTTAATAGTCGGACATATTTACAACATTACAGACAAATCAGCAAAGTTGTTATAAGGCTCAGAAAAACAAAATAAAGTAGAAGCCACCTTGATCCTTCTGCGATAAAGATCGACTTTTCATTTTTACATGTTCGTTTATCTTTGAATGAACCAGTTATGCTGCAGTAAACTGAAAGTAGACTCCCAGCAGACGCCTGGACTTCTGTCTCCTCCAGAAACATTTGCGTAGCGACTGTTTCATACCACCTCCGCATGGACTTTTAGGTACGGTTCTATCAGTGGCTAATTGGTTGCCTCTAAAGATCCACAAAGTGATAATGTGTCACAATTTAAGAGAATCCTCATCCTTTTTTGACAAAAGAATTGTTCATATTTTCTTTGCAGGGTTCCCTGGCTTCTCTTGGTTAACCCTGCACTATAAACCCAAAGAGACAGGCAAGAAAATAGGAAAGTACAAATATTTCTGTCTGGTTAGATTCGGAAACACCGTAGCGGTGTTTTGTGTGAAAGAGAGCTCACTGCACCAGAGTGTTAGAGCACTCTAATGCCAAGAAGCTGATGTTACAAATAACACCATTCTTCCTAGTTCCAATTATGAATTTCTAAAGAAAATATATGAATTCATGTTAAATATGGACCTTTTGTGGCTCAACAGGAGTCACAGGTTGCAAACGGAAGGTTCACCTTCAACCGTAGAAATCAACAACAGAATAAGCCTCTAACTACTCCGTGAAACTGTGATGAAGTTCCTAATAACCTTCACATCGTCTCTTTCTTCTTCCATCACCTCACCTCCTTACTCACCTGTCCACAAGCCCCTGCTTTTGTATGGCCCCAGAGGCTTCTCTCATACAACCAGGCTTAATGGAATAGAAGAGGTAGGAAATTTTCTTTTTGCGTGCTCCAAAGGGAACACTTTTCTCACGGTTCTACCTGGATAGAACCGTAAAATGTGTTAAATTTTAGATAAATAAGGTAGGTTGCCTCACTGGAGTGCATTTAAATTGTACATTTGTAATTTCCTTGTGATTTTATCAAGATATAGCTTTATTTTCCCACTGTTCATATAATATTTCACTGTAGCACTATATTTCTCACCCATTCATTAGTTAACTGTACTGTTTTCACTGTAGGATGGTAAATATTTGGAAACCTTTGGAAAAGAGCAACTTTTTTTTCCTCACTTTTGAAACATTTTTTCCCCGACTTGCTTCCACTGTTTATTTGGTGCCAGGAGAAGGCGGCACAGATTTTGTGTGAGTTAAAAAAAACAACAACAAACGTAAAATTATCAGAGGTGAAGAAGCTGTCCTGGAAAGAGCTTCCTCTCTTCTTAAACCCCTTTCACAAAGAGGCCACGAGACCTCCCCCCCCCACTCCGTCTAGTCATCTGTCTCTCGTAATGATTTCACTCCTGTTTTTATAACGAGAGACACACACCTGCAAGTGTTACAAAAACTAGCAGGAAAAAAAAAAGCGTTTAAGAAAACTTGTTAAGCCTTAAATTAAACTGTCAAGCTGTTTTGGTTTTTCCTTAGTCCAAACAACAGGTGTCTCGCCTCCGTTCATTACAAACAGGAGCCCATTAAACTGTGGTGGAAAAGTTGTAATTTTTGGTTTTCTATGCATCTTACTGAATGTAGCACCGTAAATCTAACTTAATTTACAAGCACTGTTGCTGCATTTTTAATATTCTATATGTTTTTAATATAGAATGTTATTAGTATAGAGTATTCTTAATATAGAATGCAAAAGACTTCCTGTCTTCCTGTGCAGTCATACCCCTAGTGATTACTAATGATACTACATTCTCAGTCCCGTCTCCTTCATCAGAGGCCCCCGGACAGCAACCCCATCATTCTGGCCTGCTTAGTTTTACCCTGGGAACCCAGAGCCACACTCTGTACCATTAGACCACTACAGTACAACATATCATTATCGCTGACCTATCTGGCACTGTTCTCCATCAGGACTGCTCCATCTTTTTCATCTTTGCCCCTCCTCAAAAAAGAAAAACTCGGACCAGCACACCAACCCACAACCTATACAAGCTCCAGGGACCCCTAGATTTAATTCCAATTACTGCCTGGACATTGATCGAATTAGTTAATATGCCCGATCTCTCGCTTGTCTCAATCAATGGAAGATCCCTGTGAATCACGCAGGCATGCAGCTCTGAGTACCTGGCATCACAGCTGTCACTAAAATCTTACTGTAGATAAAGGATCACTTCATTAGCATCTAGAAATAGATGCTAATGACGATTACAATACAAAGAGAGATTACATACTATTTAACTCTAAAGGGTATTGCATTTTTAATGTGAGTGACACTTTTTTTCACACTGTTGATATCCATGATAATTGGCTAAAAAAGCAGATTAAAACACAAAGTGTACATAGAGCTAAACCCCAGTCATAGCCAAAGCAGAGAAAGCTTCCTGAAGACACTGTCTTGCACTAAGTACATAAGTAGTAAGTTCTTCCATCAAGCTTTAAGCTTTGATTATTTGAACCCAACCACATATCCCCTTGTATGTGATGTGCATTTAAAAAAATCCAGTGTTATAATTTTAGTGATTTGGGCAAAAACAAAACTACTGTACTTCTAAAACCACCAGTTTTGAATATTCTTTACTTGGTAAACGGACATGGAGATTGCTTAAACATCAGCAATTATGGTTTAAAGAAAAGTGTGTCGATAAACACAGAACTATTCAAGCCCAAAGCACAGTGCAAAGAAACTATTCCACCTTATACTCTTAGGTTGGTATAGCACACAGCTCAGTGTTCTCAATAATACAATTTCTAGTGCATTCATAAATGTGTTTTTGGATATAAAGTTGAAGGAAAAGATGAAGCTATAAAACGGCCCTTATTCTTATAAGCCATCAAACCCAAAGGTGACCACATTATTCTGGGCTCAGAGGGGTTGTGCAACAGGAGAGTGTTGGGGGTGTGGGAAACTTGAAACTAGAAATAGTGTTGGTGAAGCTGATATGTTGGCATCTTTCAAGAAAAGGTTGGGTGAGATCCTTGGGTCAATTAGCTACTAACTACCAAATGGGCTACATGGGCTGAATGGCTTCTTCTCATTTGAAACTGGTATATGTTCTCATAACAAGGTCCTAAAAAAAATCCAGCCATTTTAACTCTTGTACAGGCATATAGTTCAAGATTGCAAGGGTGGAATTTTTGTCTCCAAGTCTAAAAACAGGACAAATTCACAGAAAAACCTCAAAACAAAGGAGAGTGAGTGGCCCTTCTGTCTTGCTGAATGTAAGTCAACTTGGTGACTACAACAAAGTAAACAGCTTCTGTATATCCCCTTGAACAGATCAGCATTCAAAGCATTTTCTTTGACAATGATATTGGCCTAACATTCTAGGCACAAGACACAACTGGTTACTGTCTGACACACTGACACATTGTGAGCTCCACAGTGCCCTACAGGTGAGTTAGGTCTGAATGGAGGAGCAAGTCTTTGCACACTGATGTCATCGCAACACCCTGCAGCAGCTCAGCTGAGGCCAAAGGTTGTTTGGTCAGTTGAACAGTCCCACTCATAGTCAGGTAATGATACAGCCCAGGATAGAAAGAGTTTGTATTAAACATCTGTGCAGAGCACTCATTGCAATAGGACAGGAACTTTTGGCAATATGGCCTATACAAAAATATCCTAGCATTTGATTCTGCACTGCATGAGGAAAATGTATCCCCTCACATAATGCCATTTTCAATAAAAAATAAAATGACTAATATTTTTCAAGTGGCTGTGGTTCATGTGCTGCTGCCAAATTTCTGCTCTATACTATGAACAAGCCGGGGAGATTTTGTTTTCGAAATTGTTTTGGCTTGACTGCAAACTGGTAAAGATAGAGAGGGTCAGATTTCATGCCAGTTCCAAAGATTTATACACTGGTAAATAATTCTATGGATAAGCTGGATATTATATATATATACACTGCCTTATACTTTTATTCAGTAGACCAGCATAAATATTTAAACATACAGAATGACTGGAGAAAGGGTACGAAGTTGTATCTTTCGAGATGCTGGAAAAACGAATGAACACCCCTTTCAAACATCAGATTCAGAAAAAACATATACTTGGCTAGACGACCTACAGTTTTGACCAATGTCTGAACCACACTGCCTGGCAGCAGGAAGAAGAACAACTTTTACAAGTTAGACAAGATATCGGCCTTCTCACCAACATTCTTAACGGTATAAAAATGACTTGCACATAGGAATGTATCTGATGGCTGTCCAACTGCTTAACCGTGCTTAGCTTAATGGTATAATCTGATTTAATATTGCATTATCTCGCGGTTGTTTTCTTTATACATTCTTAAGGAAATAAAAACAAGACACAGGGTTAGATGACTAGGGCCCGCTCATTTCTATACACTTAAAAACATCTTCAGCGCGCTTCTGTCAGGAATGGGAACAGAGGTCTGACATCTTTGTAAAAATGTGTTTGTGGAGGGCCTGGAAAATGTACAAACTAAACAGAGTACCAGTGCCAAAATAGTAAACTAATAGCACAAACTGAATTGTATAGACACGACAATAACAGAGTATTGCAGAACAACTGTACTTGCAGTTTTTGTACATTCTTTTTTTAAAAAAACTGAGGTTTTAATTACCTCTGAAAATAAAACAGTCAATGACTTTCGAGGTGTCCAGTTTGGCACCATCTTGAATTTTATTTCAGAATTGAATTTTTAAACTCAGCTTCTCTGCAAAAACAGTTTTTTTTCTTCTTTCAGGTAAAATATGAGCACATGCCAACAGCTTCAAGTCCCTACAGGGGAGAGGACTCGGATTAGATCCTTTATTGCTCTGTACTGTATCTGTCTGTGTTTTAAAGAACTGACAAAGCTGAGCTTCTAACTCTCTATGAGCTGTTTCCCAGTTTTAGAAGAAAACATTACATTCCAATAAAAATGCCCAATAGGACAGCAAGGTAAAACATGCAACCAGCATAACCTGTAAGCATGCAGCAAAGCCACTCTTAAACTCTGCCACAAACAAGGCCGGATTTACATTCTGCAGATTCTTGTCCTCAGTCTCACATTTAAGAAAATCATTTGTAAGCATTTCTCCAAAATGGCTTAATTTACAAGGGCTTATACACAGATGACAGATCGGCAGCTCATTTCCTGGAGTTTCGAAACTTCTGTTTAGAGTTTGTTCGAACAGAGTTAGGGATCAACCAGCCTATCGCAACTTATGTTCCGTCAGATGCCTGTTACGGTTATAACCAAAAGTGGGTTTGGACAAGTGGGATTGAGCCAAAACTGCATGAAGTCCTGCAAGAGAGAACTTTCCTAACGAGAATATTATAACTTGTTTTCCTTGGTTAGGCTGCAGGAAGCATATTGGTGTGAGGAGTGCTACCTGGAAGGGCTCCAAGCTGTTCTGACCCTTGCCGAGAATACTCAGCTTTCCGATCAGGGATGAATGAATGGGTGGTTTGAAAGTGGGGCTTTACACCCTTAAACGTACAGACACTAACAAAACACCTCTGAAAAGAGATGAAGAAAATGCCACAGTTTTCTGGGCCAGGTGAAAGTAAGGATGAAAAGCAACCAACAAAAGGAAATCTAAAGGAAGGGATGGAGTTATACAGATGTGCAGGGTTTCCAGTGCTGAAGGAACCAGTGTGCTGTCGGCGATGACAGAGAAATAAAACACTGAGTTCATAGCGAAGAGGAAGCTGTGGGACCAGCAAGGCCGACTCATGTTGTTAGTGTTCAGATCCTTGGATCAGCAACAGGTTGGAATCCATTTTAACAAGGTGGTTCGATCAAATGAGGGAACCACCCGGGCTCATGGGAAGGGCCCTGCACAAGCACTCCAGGCCACTGGGATCATTAAGTGTTACATTCATGATATTTCCCTGGTGCGCTTGTCTGAAAAGTGAGAGACCGTGCCGTTGCTCTTAGCAAGGACGCTCAGTCCAAGATCCTTCTCTAAGCCTCCTTCTCCAACTGTCCATTAGTCTACAGAATAGGACTACTTGTGCAACAGGACTAATTTCTGATGCAACAGCGCAGTGTGATTCCGTGTAAAAACAAGTCAAAACCATTTCCTCTCCAACCCTCTCATTCTATCCCGACATCCGCATTCACAAACGGGTATCAACGTAGATGGTGGCATTACCAGCTCTCCCCAACAGAAGGAAGAGAAACGTGAACAATGGGTCCAAGCAGTCTTACCAAGACTGATTTTACAGCCTCCCTTGGCGAACTACTCACTGCAATGCTTTTCTTTCGTTTTCTTGACCACGGACAACCAAACCACAAGCAATATATATACATATATACTTTACGAATCAGGAGAGAGAAAAGTCTGTACAGAAAAGTGGACGTTTTCTGCTGTCGTTGTCAGGAAGGATGGGAACAGCTCTGGTTTTCGCAACGTACCCTTTTTAACGGTCCCTTTTCAAGGCAGACCAATCGTTAAAAAAAAAGAAAATCGCGCTCAAAAAAAAAAGGAAAAATTACAATATACAAAGTGGTCCTTAATGGCAAGACACATGCAGTCTCATGTAGGTGAGCTCCCCGAATCACCATTGTCTTCCTGTTTTGGCACGAAAGGGAACCAGGGAGGACGCGCTGTCCCATCATGCCTTGTTGCACTTGCCCTTCTTTTCCTTGCGCTGGAATTTGCGGAGCCTCCGTGTCCAAACGTCCCTCCACTGGATGACCAGGCTGTTCTTGTCGGCCAGCAGCCCTGCCCGCTCGGCTCCGCCCTCGCTGGTGCCCATCACCAGGTACCTCTTGCTCATCTGGATCTTGGGGCACTTGCAGGCCAGGTCCTTCATGTGGATCCACAGGAAGTGGTCGCCTCTCTTGAGGGGCTCCCCCCGACTCTTGTAGACCGAAACTATGTTGACGGAGAACTTGGCCCAGTCACCCACCGTCTCCATGTCCAGGACATTTACCTGGACCGCTGTGAGCGGTAAAGATGGAGAACAAGGGAGAGGAAGCTGGATTAAAATGACTTGGCCCGACCTAGACACCTAGAGCAGTGCCCAGTCTTAGGCTGGCATCTGGTTTCGAGGAAGTTCCTAAAGTAGCTGGTTAAATTACTATCTATAGATATTGGTTTCCCTCTTCTTTTTTGCAATGTACTTTGCTCTCAGTATTTAGCTACTCCCTGCCCAAATATATCTTCTTTATATCGAATGGGAATATCTAAAAGAAAAAAAAACTTCATAAAATGACTTTTCTGTTCATGGTAAACAAATTCCACTTCATCAGGGTGCCAGAAGCCACAGACACTAAAATGATCTGGAGGACAAAGGCAGTTGCACCAATGACTGTTACCATGAATTTGCAAGGTCTACCCAAAGGGACTATTTGTGCATAAAGTTGCTGCTTTTGGAACCTAGTACAAAACACACGTTCTCATGGTTGTCGTTCTCTCACCATAGTCCTTCTTGCAGTATTTTTTCATATTGATCTTCAGGTTTCCTTTCACTGGTTTGCAGTATGATTCGCAATCTGTGGACAAGCAGACCAAGAAAGTGTTTAAGTCAATCGATTTCCTTGAAAACTTTGCCAGGGGTATGGGACCTCATCTGGCAGGAACCAGGTTTCCACAACATGAAAAGTTACATTTTTTAGCCCTATAGTTAAAATTGCTTCATACATTCACTGTAAAACACACAACAAAACACAACGTTGGCCCACAGAACTGTGCTACACGAAACGCTGGTACCTCTCGTAGACCCACTAGTGTCTGAGATCCGGAACAGTTACTACAACCAGTTACTACTCGCAGACTGGAAGACAGGAAGGAACAACTTTGACAGCTTCATTAGCAGACGATCAAATCAGTGGTGAGACTCCTAAGTTTAACAACAACAAGATAAACCCGTCAGATTCTGTCAGCTTTTTGACTTCGCTATGGAACTCTCCACCCTAATTACAGGAGATATGGATCCACGTTTCTCTCAGTCTGGCCTATCACGCTGTGGTTGCAAATTGGGTAAAACGTTCCCACTGACAGTCCTTCACTGGTTTCTGATTTTTTTTTAAAATTAGGATAAATAACAGTCAGGCTTCGTAATGAAGGTCTGGTCTATTCTAATGAAGCTAATCATGAAAAATGGTGATGGTATTTAGCGCACATATACAGTAAATAGGACCGTGGGGAAGATGTTGCCATCGACAACCAGACTGACGCAAACATCCCCAGAGTCCATCTTCTACACCTACAATCCAACAAGGACATCAAAAGGTGGTTGCACTGAATACTCGATGGTGTACTGTTGTGAACCAAGGCACTGCATTCCAAATACTCTCATTGCAAGCACAATAATGTTCCTTGCTCCAGGGATGCAGAGCTTTCACAAGAGAGTTGTCTGAGTATGTCAAAACGCTCAAGTACTCATTAAATCAAACAAAAGTTTCATTAGACGCTCAGCAAACAATTGACTCAATGTGATATTTTTTTCCTCACATCAGAATCAACACCTGAAATTTATGAGAACTGTGTCTTTGCATTGGCACATTCATTCGATGTTTTAATCTGCAACAGTCACGAAAGATTTATGTGTTCAGAAATGAAATCCCCCAGACAAAGAGCTATTAGTGTAGTATGATAACAACAGTCATGGAGCTTGTGTGTGTTTTTTTTCCAAATGTTTGTTTTAGCGCTCACTCGTGACATCCCTGCAAAAACCTTTGGGGTTTTAATTTTAATATTGTTGTGTTGTTCAGCCTTCTCCCTCCCTGAAGCATTTCAACTCAACAGGTCATCTCTCCGGGGCGCGGGCTTACCGGGGGTGACGAAGCATTTAACAAAGACATCAAAAACATCATCACAGAGAGGAAAGGAGCCAATCCTTTTAACAAACTGAGTCATTTGGAATATGACCTCCAGGGATAAGATCTATCCATACCTGCACAAATCGAGAATAAAAAAAAAAAAACAAAGCACTCCAAATTGAAACAACATTGTTTGGCACTCCTTCTAAATAAAACACCGAGCTAAGACACCAGTCTTTTCTTGCTCCGTGTACTTCAAACAGTGTATGTAGGAGTTCTCTGAGCCTGCCAGGGCTGGCGTTCTGAAAGGAACACTAGCTCTGGGTTCTGGGCAACTCTTCAGTAACAGCCATTGGATAACGTTTTGCTTTCCCTGCTATCATATGCACTCCTTAACATCGGCTCTACACATCACTACCAGCCAGCCGGGGTTCTGTCTCTTTATTTATCAAATATAATTACACAGCCATTAGCTTTTAAAGTCAGAAAAGTAGAAGAATGAATTTAAATGAATGCAAGCTTAACTGAATGATACATGATTTAAATGAATTCATGTCAAGCTTTTGAGCCATGGTAATAAACTTCCCGTATTTACCCCCCATGCTAACTCTACATCAGTTCATGTTCCCCAACAAGGAAAACAGCTCTTGCGTTTACCCTGGACGTCATTAAAAAACATGCCCTTCGACCTGCAATTTCAGGGGTGTGGTTTACCTTCATCTAAAAAACCACATGCTGAGCTACTGAATAAATGCACCAGTAAAGGCACTTGCTTGAGTGCAGGTTGAGCTCTGGGATGTGGGAGTCCCGGGTTCAAATCCGGGTGCTGTCGCTAGCCGACTGAAATTCGCGAAGCATGAGGCTGAGATGGGTTGGCCAGGTCATTCTCAGCTTTCCAGAACACAGCGACTCCTGAAGTCTAGTAGCGTTGAGAGAAGCAACACTCCTCTAGTTGGTGCTAGCAGTCGTGCGGACCTCACACCAGTCTCTGGAAAGAGGTTTAAAGCAACCACAGTCTATGTTTTTCAGTAGCTCTTCAATGGTCTTCCTAAAGACCAAATATGGCAGAGGAACCCAAGAAAGCATGTTATTTTTAATGTATTTCCTGAGGACTCAGCAATATATTATATTATGACATGGCTGCCGTCCTGGTAAAGAAAAGCTAAGCAGCGGTTGTGGTGTGTGTGTGTCGGGGGGGGGGGGCAATTGGGGGTAGGGAGGGTAGGGAGGGTCACTCAGCCCCCACATGCGCTGTCTGCCCGGATAAGCACCTGCTTTCTTTTGCCAGTTGTGTAGGTCTCTGCTGAGGTGAGGGGGGGCGGAGGAAATGTTAGGTTTGGCTGTGGCGCAAGGGTGAAAAATAGCCTTCAACAAATCACATTTTAATGCTGTGCGCTGCGTCGCATGGGGAAAAGGGCTTATGGAATATTACATGGAAGGAGTTCTGCTTTTCTTCCTCCAATGGGCCCAGAAAGTACAGCTGCTCTGCGCTCCAGAGCTCTGATGAATCTGCCGCACAGAAAGGACCTGGGGCCTCAATTCCTGACAACAGATAGGACAAGCCTGTTATTCACTGGGGAGAGAGGAATCAAGCTCTGCTGATTAAGCTCAACTTCTACGCACTGGTAGACCCAGTGTACAGGAGATGTGGTGATTCTGTAAGAAAGCCAGATTAGATAAATAATGATCTTAAATGGAAATTCTGTAAGTGCACGTTCCTGACGGAGCAGGCCTGAGTTCATTTTGATCTCCCCCAGACGCAAGAACATCGATTTCTCACAGCATCTGTCCGGACAACTGCATAAAAGCCAATAAATTATTCAATTCGTATTTAATATTAGTATTAAAGATGTTTAAGAACAAATGTGTTTGGAATGTGGGAGTGCTGCCAGCAAAGCAACACATCACTGGAGTTACTGAAAGAATCAACACATTACACCATGATTCATTAAAAAAAAAACTTTTAGGCCTTATTCAAATCTCAAATGGGAAATGCTAATTAATTTCACGATGAAAACTGCAAGAATGAGCAACAGATTCCTGCTTCGAATGAAATTGTACAAAACTGGGTAGGGAAAGAGGTATTTTCACTTTCCAATACAATGGCATAAAAGCAGCAGCCAGCAGGAGTAAGGTTTCCTCCTTTTTTTATTTTTTTTCCACAGGTACAAAAAAATCTATATACATTTTCTCGTCGCGTGCAGTCTAACGGTATTACTCATTTAAGTGTTGATTTCTGAAAGCAAAAAAAAAAGGGGGGAAGAAAATCTATAAAAATGTCAGGGGGACTTGGCTGCATATCAGAGAGCTGTAGTTTTATTAGTGGTAACCAGAGAGTGACTGGACCAGCTGCTTTGCAACAGCCTCCGTGCAGCTTTCAATAAATCTGTGAGGGCGGCTTGAACGCCACTTCAGCACAAGACCCGGAGTAGCACCCTGAGGACCTGCTAGAAAAATAGAAAGGGAAGACCTTGATTGTCAGCCAGGCAGAGAGACGATGAAGGCTGGTGAGGGTGGGGGGTGGCGAATTCTACACCAAACGCAGAATCGCTTGCCCGGACTGCGTGTTCCTGCACAGCCTCTGTGATACTCCTGCAGCGTGGCCTAGTGTTTACAGAGGTGGCATCTGGAACTCCAGGGCCTTGTGGGTTGAGGGTTGACGAGGCAACGTGGTGTTCTGGGATTCTGTGATGGCAGGGGGGCTGGCCAGGAGGGCGAGACGGGTGGGAGGTTATGGGCAAGACGTTTAGCGACGAGCGACAGGAAAACCAAGTGGTTAGGAGTCTTGAAATCTGCTGTGACTGTCGTGGGGCTCACTGCTGGGGCTCACACACTTGCCGTCATGGAAATGGGGAGATGCAAACCTACACACAAAGCTCAGAAAGTCTGGTCACCGCTTCATTCCTTTTACTGCAGTGCTGGGCAACCTAAACAGACAGAAGGATCACATCTGCAGCCCTCATGCAACCTCAAGGGCCACAACAAACCTCCAGCAACAAGAAAACATTGGAAAACCACAAGCGTCCTTCATTTATTTAAGTATGTCTTACGGGTAAAGTGCTGTGAAAATCTCTCTAGCATTAGTAAAATTGGGTTTACAAAAACCGTTAGTGCCGAGTGACTGGAAAAGGCAAGTGGTTAATGTCTAGAAACCAAAAAAATGAGTGTGATGTAACGGGTAAAATTAAGAGCAATGATGGAAAGGCTGTCTGTACGGCCTCAAGACTTACACTGACGGACTGGAAGGAGGGGCAAAGCTTTTTCGGAGGAAATGACCGAGGCTGGAGATCCAGGTCAATTAATGTTTCTTTCTACATGTGCCCCTTCTCAGTTCACAGATGGGTTAATGAGGTGTGTGTTGGTGGGGGTGAGGGGCGGGTTGGGATTGAGTAAATGGTTTCTGGTAGGGGTCCAACTATAGCTTACAAAACTGTCCAAGCGCCTGTGGGATCATCTACTTTCTGCAGATCAATGATCCAAGCTGGCCATTCATCTGTAGTACTGCGTATGTCACAGTTGCATCTATCCCTCTTAATGGCTCTTCAGCTCCACTGTGAATGTTTCAAACAACAGCTCAGCAACACGTGACAAGCCTGACAACACCCATCTCCTAGGGCAGCTGATGAGCAAATACGGGTTTGACACTGACAGCTGATGCTGAAACAGGAGTTTCAATGGTCTCGATCCTGCTTTCTATTCTGCTTAGTGAAATAAGAGTACAAATTATCAATAGATAGTTCACTAGTGCTGTGGCAGGTGAAGGCTTTATTAAAATTATGATCATAAGTCCCAGGACTACTCATTCGCTGCTGTCGTCTCTCTCCAAACTGCCTGATAATGGACAGCAAACATTGACGGGAGGGGTTGCCTTGTCATGTGTTCAAAAAGTACAATTACAATCTTAAAACCAGCTACACAGATCTGTCCCATTTTGAGGCACTGTGTGACTGAAGGTCATGTCGAAATTGTCATGGCCACACATAATCAGAGACCAGCCCCGTCCAATTCCCGCAAACGCCGACACAATAAAAAAATCATCCAATCACACGTCTCGGTCGTCACCACACCTCTGAGTTCCCACAATACTTGAGGGCTCTTTACCGTCACCACGGTGCTCAGTATTGGGTTTACCAGTGGAGCTCCTACTGTAGTTCTTCTCCTAGACACCACCTGATTGCTGCTTATCTTCCGAACCCCCGGCCTCGTCCAAGACTACGATTCCTCGTTCTACGAATTGGTTAAGTACGCCTCGCTTTCCCTGATCCTGTTTGTACATCGCCACTGACTCCCGCATAGGGTCCATTTCAACCTTTATTTTGGCCTGCATTCTGTAACGGAAATGTTTTGTGGTCTAAATCTGTAAAATCTCAGAAGAGGGAGCCTGTGAGCCAGGACCCAACCTCAGTGGCTGTCCAGTGGTGTGCCTGCTGGCTGCTTGCCATCATTTACCAAACAGGCAATTACCTGGAAAGCCCAATGAACTGTCCATTGATCAGAAGTGTAAACAGCCACAATTGCTTCAAGAGCTCTGGTTACTGTTTTTTTTTCTTAAATCAGCGACTGGGGCAAATGGTACCCCAACACACATACACGTCACCTCAGCCCTGCTCCTTCACTAAGTCCTTACTGCTATGAGCTAAAATGATTTCAATCTGACTTTTCCCTTACGATGACCTTGTCAGTTTAAGTTATCCAGACCAATAAGTAATAAGTATAGTGAGTAAAACAGAATGTGTTGTACCTGTAAGCAAAAAAAAAAGTAATACATTTTGAGTAAGTAACATTTACCACTGAAAGTCTGGAGAGCTCCGTGAGCTCCTGTGTTTAAAATAAAGACTGTGGCAGGTAACTGTATGAGCCAGACGATTCCCAAGGAAGTCAGACTCGCAGTGCCCTAATTATATCCCCTACAAGGAGACCAGGGGTTTCTTGGCTGCTGTTCAAACCTCTGCAATCCACCTTCCTGCCCTCAAACCCAGTCTGCAAGCAATCACAAAAACTCCAATGAACCGCCTAAGTTTCTAGACCTGCTGTGTCTCGAGCAACATAGGAGCATATTTGACCCATCTAGCTCATTTAGTTAGTGGCTAAATGATCCAAGAATCTCATCCAGCCATTCTTTGAAAGAAGCCGGGGTTATCCTCTTCAACAACGTTCGTGGGTAGCTGGTTCCAGACACCTGAGACACTTTTGATAATGAAGTGGCTCCTGCTCTGTCTGAATTGCTCTTCCACAGAGTTTCCACTTGCGTCCTCTGTTTCATGTCTCACTGTTTATTCTGAAGCCACTGGTTTGACTTTGTCAGTGCCTTTGATGAGCCTGAATACTTGTATAAAGTCCCAATTTAGTTAAAGACTAAAAAGGTTAAGTTCCATCAGCCTGTACATTCCCTTGAGCCCATAAATGTATATACCCGCTGTTCTCTGAACTGATTCCAGGTAATTTTATCTGTAACACGGTGAACAAGTTACTGTAAGCAGACCCGATCCTCTGTTCTGCTGCAATCACTACTTATTCTTAAGCATTTTAGTGGGAAAGCGACATTTTTCTCTGTTGTTTGATGATGAGTTTTAGCCTTTTATCTTTCCTACTGTCTGCAACTTTGTTATTTATTTTTTTGCTCCTTTCAGGCCCTCTTGTGAGGCTTCTGTTAAGACTCTCTCTTCTGTTATAACTTGTTAAAAAAGCCCCGACTAATTAAAGCAGTGACCCCACCCAACCAAATTGCAAAACCAGTAATTGAGGACAGATTTCCACTGAATAGAAGCAAGACAACATTAGCAAGCAATAAGCTGCAATAAATTCTGGCATTTATAATTTGCAGTTTGGAAGGTGGACTGACATTTAGATTTAATGTGAGCCTTAGGGTTTTATTTGAACATGTTACACTTGCAAGCAACTACCATTCTGGATAATACGCTGCATGACTGAGCAAGATGAACAAGGCTGAGGGACTGTATTATTGCT